GTTTCTCATAAAATAAAATAAATCAGAAGTAGGATTTTTTCAGTTGCTTTGAGCAACAAGGAAGTAGACCCTTTTTTCCTGCTCATTTATCCCACAAGAAATAAGATCAACCCCAGTTGCTATGGCTAATGGCAAGGGTAAAGACAGTTTTTTTTTCTGGCTAACTGGAATAGTTCACTTTCAAATGGTCAAGTAAGCTTTTGAGTGTGAAGCCCAACACAATCACATCTGGATACAGGAGATGGGGGTTCTAAAGACTTTACTTTTCTAGCGGCCAGTGTTGACAGCATTCTTGATAATTATTATTTTAAGCTTTGTTTCTTGGGCAGCAGTTCCTTTTTTTAGTGTCCCGCTTTGTTAGCTTTGTTTAGGGCTGGGCAGATAGGTTTTTTGTTGCCTCCATTAGCATTTTATTATTCAGATAACCAGAGTGTTTAGACCAGAAGGTTGGATATGTGATTGTAGCTGAGTATTTATTTTGGTGTTAGAAATTACCAGGTATTCTTAAATCAAGAGTCATGATAAACAGTTTTATTACATTCTTTACAGTTCATGTGACATCTACTGAGACATGCCTGGTATGGTTTAAAATTTTACACCTGTGGCCTCCTGCCTGGTGAGCTAGCTACTGGTACATTCAAAAGTCAATAACTAAGAGACAGCTAATTTTTTTTCAATAAAATGCACGAAAATCATGCAAATTGATAAAAATAGGCCTTATTAACAAATTTGTGGGTTTGTTTTACATTTTACTACGAATTGAGCTCATGATTTCTGAGTAGGGCAAACAATTCCGGGAAGGTTTCAGAGCAGTTACACCGAAACAAAATTAAAAGTTCAATGTTATTAAACATTTCATGCATTAGATCCCAAGGTTCTTTTATTTCCAGCAAGAGATTACTATGGGATTTTTCTTTGATCCTATTTCTTAGATCGTTCTTTGATTTCAGGATTTCCTGCAATGAACTTTTCCCAATTTTGTCCATCACAAGCCTCTAGTTCTATGTTCTCCACTGTACCCTCATCCAAACAATGTGGCATGACTCCATAACCATCTGGATTAGAACGAGGGATGTAAAAGCTCTGTACACCACATGTCTTGCAGAAAAGGTGCTTCGCAGCATGGGTATTGAAAGTATAGCATGTTAAATTTTCTTTACCCTAAATGAAGAGAAAGTTGCATCTTAAAACATAACAAGGGGGGATCTAACAATAATGTAACACAAACTAAGATATGAGAAAATCAACCACATAAGTCAACAAAAATTATACAGACCACATAGAGGTGATGGTATTGGAGAAATAGCGAGGACAAGCCTTTGATCAATATACATCACATACACAAGTACATAAACATAAAACAAAAACATATCTTGAGTGGCCCATGATATTGTGTTTATTTTTTTCATTTTTCTCTCTGCCTCACACAACACATTATTTGATAAAGTACAGGAAATTATAAAATATGTGTGGACCATAAAGTTGTCAGTCACTGATTTCATCAATAATTTATTATTGCAAAACGTTGTAAGTCACGAACAATGGCTTGTTAGTGGGTTGGGATAATCAACAGGTTTTAAACACGGATGCTTTGACCCGAGGTCCAAACCCTTATTATCATTTTATAGACCATTTTTGACATCTTCCACGAAAATTTTATGCCCTTCATATGCCTACAGTGCACTTTTATCGANCAATATACATAACATACACAAGTACATAAACATAAAACAAAAACATATCTTGAGTGGCCCATGATATTGTTTACTTTTGTCATTTTTCTCTCTGCCTCACACAACACATTATTTAATAAAGTACAGGAAATTATAAAATATGTGTAGACCATAATGTTGTCAGTCACTGATTTCATCAATAATTTACTATTGCAAAACATTGTAAGTCACGAACGATGGCTTGTTAGTGGGTTGGGATAATCAACAGGTTTTAAACATGGATGCTTTGACCCGAGGTCCAAACCCTTATTATCATTTTATATACCATTTTTGACATCTTCCACGAAAATTTTATGCCCTTCATATGCCTACAGTGCACTTTTATCGACCTTAAAAAGGTCACTGAGATTTTTCAGGAAATAGCTGTCAAATTCCTCCATACCTAGCTCCATAACTCCCTCACCCCACCACACCCCTTCCAGTATAACTTTGCCAGGTGCACTACCTCTAACAAGGTAAAATCATCCCGTGGAACAATAAAATGCCTGTTTTGCTTCTTTGTACAAATGCTGCAGCTGTTGGGGAGAAAAAAAAATAAAGTTTTTCTTCGAATGCTCCAGTGATGCAGGTGTGAGGTTTACAGACTTTGTAACAACGATTTCCTCATAAATTTTTCGTCCACCAGTGTATTTGTTCACAACTTACTTGCAGTCGTAAACATGAATTACTGCTGGCGCCATAACTTCAAATCGAACCCTTCCACAATGACAACCACCTTTGTGTTTCACTAGCTCTACGTCCGCCATTTTCACTAAATTAGGCAGGCGTTTCAGTGTTCGGGTTAGGGTCTGAGTTAAGACTAAACACTAGAGTCGTCACGCTCGGGGGAGTTGACGGAGGAGTGGTGTAGAAAGCGCGGTTACTAAATTCATTCACGTGGCGTTCGATGCCCCGTGGCAATTAGGTCATCACAAATGTTGTTATTGTTTTCAACAATTTGTTAATTTCAATGTTCTGCCAAACAGTTGGTAAAGAAACTGCCTTAAATTCATGAAGATCTTGCTTATTGCTTCGCTGACGTCGGAGACTGGAAATTTTTCCACAGCCGATCGAATAAAGTAGGTGACCTGATATCAATATTGACCAGTCTTCAAGCAAAATGAGATACATCTTTGAATATCGAATCATTAGCTGATGATCTGCCTTTTCTTTCCTCCAAGATGAATTGATGTAAAGATTGATTGATTGCTCCGTGAGATAGTGCGGAAATGCATATGTTATGACCACACGTCCAGGGACTCGCTCGGTTGCAAATTGAATAAGTGTTACTTGACCTGTTTTGTACAAATTGATGGTAACAGTAACCAATAGTTAATTATCGCAAACTTTCCAAGATACATCTTTATGATACATGAAAATCTAATTGATTTATGATCATGCTGTATTTCGTGTTCATGAATTTTCAGGAGATGTTTAAGTGATTGTAACGTTGATTGCTGGCTTCGCTGTGTTACCTGTTTCAAGGATAGTTTGTCAGTCAAGGAATTTGTTTACAAACATAATCTGGCATGTGTTCTTGGTATTCATGCGTGGAGAACTGGAAGACTTTTGTTAGGTATAACATAAATAATGTTCATACTTTTGTTGAAATTCATTGGGCAAACAATGAATTTTCTTTTTAATTTATAAAGTCAAGTGAGAGAACAAAATATGGGTTTGGGAAGATGGCTACCCTCATATCTCTAGCATCTTAATATGTGTT